CTTGTATAAATATGTATGTTACTGAATTTTGTAAGTAGACATAAATATATATATATATACATATAGATATATATAGACATATATATAGACATATATAAAATAAAATATAAAGGAAGCTAATTGTTGCATTATGGAAATTATCGCAATGACTATTAGGGACTGTTATTATTCTTAACCATAATTATGTGAAAGAAGTTAAAAGTGAATGAAGATCAATTATTTGAATAGTTCTGTAATTTGTCCCAGGATGAAGTTTAGGCATGCAATTAAAAAATGTATGTTCCACTTACAGGTCCTTTTCTAATTTGCTTCACAAATAGTGTGTGTTGTAAGCTGCTCACCCCATCAAAACTGAAAGTTTTAAGAGCTTTCTCTTAAGGCAGGCAGGCAATATTATTTGTTGGAAAGCAGAAACCCTGGATGTGATTTAGTGCCCACCAGTAATTCGTATACATTTCGAAAACCTGTCATGATATATGACAGCTCTCTTGAGGACTTTGCTTTTAAAACAGGACTGTTTTCTGAAGATGCTGGGTTTTTTTGTCATTGTTTTCTGTTTCATTCACTCATTTTTCAGCATTAGAGACCACACATACTGGGCATACTTCTGGTCTCATTCTCACCCACGAAATTCTGACTTCAGTAGAGTTGCACGGGTGTAAATTAGACTAGGACTTGGCAGGAGGAAGCTTATGATTATATTTGGCAGAGACAGCAGGCTGCAACTTTATTAACATAATTAACAGCTACAAACACACCCAACAGGCCAAAGTAATCTAGTGACAGAAGAGAGAAGGTCTTAGTAGGAAAGGATCCTTCGCGCTCTCTTTTGGTGTTCTGCTTCTTGTTCCTGAGCTCCTACTAAGGCTTGGCGAGCATTCAATTGAGCTGTAATTCAAATTCATACATCTCCTGCAAGACACCTTGAACAGACTTTTGCTGATGAGTCTATAGGAACTGTCAGCAATACGGAGATTACTTCAGAAGCGTGATGGTTGAATCGAACTTTACTTTCTGATGTTTTGCTTTTTGAATTAAATTGTTGGACAAGATTAATTGCACGCAGTAAGAGATTTAAATGAATGGCTTTATAAAGCATTAAAGTTCTAAGTATGTCACATGGGAAAAAAGCTGTAAGGTTTAAATGAATAAATGTATTTAATGCATAAAATGTCTAGGCTAATTTTTTAATTCCTTTACAAACATATTGAAAAACCATACTTTATTCATCCATCTTAGTTATACTGCTGTGGTTGTGGTAATTTAATATTCCTGCTCTTTGCTAATCTTCTGGTTCAACAGAAGTAAACAATAGGTTTCATAAATTAAAAATACGCTCCTCAGAACATGCTTCTAAAGATAAAAAACAAGGCTGTAAACATTTATGACTGAAACAAACTAGATTGTTCAAATACTGCCATGATGTATCATGTATATCAATATGGCACTGATATCAGTTAGAATGCAAACAAGGTTTTAAATGATGTGCCCCTTCATTTCAGCTGGAGAATCCGCTTTACACCATCTGCCTATCAGATGGTTAGGAACCAGGACTGCGTATTAATGCCACATGTTCGATTTTCATTCCTCTTGTAATGGTTAGATTCATATTGCTAATAGCTGTGCATGAGCACTGTCGATGAAATTTGTGTGACGATGGAGTGATGAGATATTTATAAAGCTGCCTGTCTCACTGCATAATCAGCAGGAAGAATGCCAGACATAAACAACTTACCAATTTCAGAATATTAATGACAACTACCATTGCCTTTAATCCACTGAATATTTTGGCCTGAATACTTTTTAACTGTTCAAATAAATATTTGTAAAGAACAAAAAAACCCCCTATGTGGCTGTTTGGTGTGATCCTTATTTCTTTCATTTCAGTTGACTTTGTAGGTTACATTCGGTTATCTAATTTTTGAAGGTAACATTTCTGTAGTGTAGAGAAGTGTGCACCTTGGAAATTCCTTGGCTACTTATTGTAAGAGTAAATTGATATTAAATAATGTTTACATCAAAAGGCTTTTTCAAAGAACAAATTTTTTAAAAATCCCAAGTGTCTCCCTGGGTATATACCCATACTGGGACTTTAAAACTTAGTATTTTAAAATATAAATAGAGATACATAGTGGTGTATTAAATTTTGCTTATAATATATTTGCCTGTCTATACTAGTGAGATAAGAAAGGTAAGTTGGGCCCTATGCTGAAGTTCTGGGTTGTACCACACCCCAGTACACAACAGTGCACCAGTGATTATAAAGCAAGTGGCTCTGATAACTGGCTGTGTGCCTCCCTTGACACTTGCTTTGCTATATCATCACAGTCAAGTGATAGGAAAAAACAGCAGTAAAGGAGAAACTGTGCTATAGACTGGAATTGCTGTAAGGACCACCATTAGTCTAGAATTCTGAGCCTTATTCCTTCCATTTCCCTCCTTACTTGCACCAGTTTTTACACGAGACATGCATTTCAGATTTGTATGGTTTCCATTAATTGCTGTATAGCAAACTAATAATTTCAGTAATTTCTGTGATTGTGTAAGAGAAGGAATGAAATTATTAGTGTAATTTCTACTGTTTAAAATTATCATTTTTTGCCACAAGCATTCTCTTGCAAAAATCTTACTACAGAACTAAGCAATTTGTATTTTAGTTTCTCAGTCCCCATCCAAAGAGCATACTCTTTTTTTTTGCAAATTTTGTAGCAAAAGAGAATTTTTATTTCAGGAGTTCTGCATTCAGGTCATTATTCCAATGAAAGAAAATAATTGCAGGTGGGGTCACAAGTCCTATGTCCAGCATCTCCTTTGTGTGTAATTTACCCCAGTATTTGGAAGCACTTTAAAACTGCTGGTCTAAAAGTGTAGTCACAACCGAAAATTTGGGGCCTGCTGTTGTAGTCATTGAATATAATGTACCAGGATATTCCTCCAAAGAATTGTTTTTTAAAAACGCTAGGTTTAACTTTTCAGGGATGTATACATACATTAAAGAAGGAAGTATAGGTTATTGTGTTGTTTAATGAGCACCGGATGCAAACCAAAGTTCAGAGGTGCACCATCCCTTTTTCTGTGGCCAAATTTAGGGACTGTAACCAAATTTGTATAATGTATGGCTTCATATCCTTCCTCTAAGGTAAAAATATAATTGGAAGCAATCCATGTTATTGTCAATACCTTATTAAGATCAGAACATGCACATTTTGTGATAGTAGCAGAAGCTAAAATAAAAGTAACCCCTCATATTTATTCATCTTCTCATTTATTTTTGGTTTTTGGTACATCTTCTACCTGAAACAGCACTTTTGTAAAGAATATTGATCTGTAATTATCACTTGGTCAGTAATTCTCATTACACTTGGATGTGTTAGAAGTCAGCCTGTGAGGAGGGTCAGGAGGCTGGAACTGTTTGCTAATCTTTATGTGGTCATGCAAAGCAATAAGGGAAAACAACCTTCAGTCAAGCAACAATATATTCAAAGGCACCTCTTATGCCACCTCACAGATTTCCTGATGTCTGCTCACCTTCTGCTTTTTCCCTGCTGGAATTTGCCTTCTGTCCCTCCCCATCACTAGCCAAAAACATGGCAAAAGTGAACTTGTTTTCCATGCAAGGAGTCAAAGGAGACAACAAGAGACCCTGGGAAGCAATGGTGCTAGCAATATTTACCTCAACGGCCTGGGATTATTTGCTTATTTGGTCTTTCCTAAATTGCACTCTTCCTATGCTAGACAACAGCCTTAGAATAGTAAATTGTGGAGTTAGTTTCTCTTGAGATCCGTAGGACACTTCACACCTCTCAGAGTAGCTGAAAATCAGACAAGCAGGCACCTTTAAACTAATTACATGGAGGTTTTCAAGCCTTCTCCACATTCAGGGCAAGAATCTTGATTCAAAATGACTGCGTGTCTGTTCTCTTCATGTGGCATCACAGGCCGAGGGCTGAGAGTGCATCAATGCATTAAACTTGCCCGCTTTATTGCCTTCTCTTTTATTTGTTAGATTCAGTTCTCTATCATTTCCATCTCTGTCCCCTTCATCAGTTGTGTGGGGGAGGCAGCTCTTGTGAAGTTTTGGCGCTGGTTTCTCTCTGCTGCTGCTCAGGCTGGGGCAGGGGGATCTGGGTGGGCAGCAGCAGGACTTGGGGAGCACGGGAGGATTACCCTGCCTCAGGGAAGAGGGCAAAAACTGACTCTTGTGACATTGATTAAAGGCTGCATCTGATTTTGAGTTTTGAAGGCAACTGGAGAACTGGACTAGTTCTCCAGTTGCTCTTGACAAAGGGAAATTTTCCTGGGTTTGTAGAACATTCTTGTAAATGGCTAGATGGCAAAAACTTGGTTTGGTAGGAAGAGCACTTGAGTTGCCTGTAGGTGACTTTGGGATTGGTATTAAATGGGTTAATACTTCCTCTTCTCATTGATAAATACTTTAATGCCTTCAAGACTGGAGAGAGCAGAATAATGTTCTGCATTATTTTTTTCTAGAAATGCTTCCTAGAAAAACTACATCTCCTTGCTGTTATGTATGTAATGAGAAATGTCTGAGTTCTGTAATCTGTTACTCATAAATAGAAATTCTAGACCTGTTATTTCTGTTTTCTTTAGCATGTCTAAAATTAAAGATCTAATGGGAATTTTTTTTCCTAAGTATGGTTATTTACCTATTCATAGTCAGACACTCAGGACACCATTTTGAAGCTAAATTAGGTTTTTGACTGCATGTATTTGTAGCTGTATCTAGTTGTGATTTTATTATGAATGAACTTACTAGATACCAAGTTAAAGTTTAGATGAATGTATAGGAGTAATTATCTAAATACGATGTGAAACATTTTACTTGAAAAAGTTGATAGTTTTCAAAACCAACAAGAGGAATAATACTCTGCAGCACTCTCTGTTCTTATGTAACAAGCGTGGAGGAATAATAACAGTCCCTACAATAATGGAGACTCATAGAATAATGAATATTAAATTTTTTTCATACTACTTTGCAGGTCTGACAGCAGCAGCTGCAGCAGCAGCAGCTGCCACCAATGCTGCCATAGCAGAAGCAATGAAAGTGAAAAAAATCAAATTGGAAGCTATGTCCAACTATCATGCAAATAATAACCAGCATGGAGCAGACTCTGAAAATGGAGATCTGAATTCAAGTGTTGGTAAGTTTCAGACATAGCATTATTATATGTCCATAATACTGAGATATTTTATTAAAATGGTAATCTTTCTGAACTTCCTTCTGAAGTCCTTGATTTGGTGTAAAAAGTTGCATATTTGTTTTCCTTTTCTTAATGTTTTTAGTTTTATTTTGTACCCAACCTTTACACCAGCATTCAGTGTTGTTGTTACTGTTACAAAAACATTCTTTTCTTTGCAGGCTACTTTTGCAGACTGCAGTTAATATTTTCCATGAAAGAAAGTGGTTTGATTGCTTAGAGTTCATTTTTCAAAGTACAGGTGGAGTGACAGATGATGGTGTCAAAGTGAAATTTAACAATGTCTCCTGCTCAGTGTGCTGGGTATTGACTTTAGGTAATTCAGAACACAAGCTTGAAAGCAAAATATTTCATACTTTCTTGTGCCCTGTGACAAAAGGAAAACATACATACACAATAAATTCTGCCATGCTCTACAGTTCCTATCATATTTTATTTTAATAAACACGTTCTTAAAATGTAGTTAACATTTTTTTCCATTTCTTAAGCAGCCATCAGCAACTCCTGTTCTTTTTCACAAAAGAATTGTTTCAGTATACTTTATTCATTTGTTTGGACAATTTGTTTTGCTAAAGCATACTTCAAAGCTAGGATAACTTTTGTTGTTGTTGATTAAATCTTTAATCATCTGTGTGTGTCTGCTGTAAAATGTTTTGTTATGCCATTTCATTGTATTGGATCCTTTTATCATGTTGAGACAGTATTAACTCAGCAACAGAAATTCAATGACAAGAGGTACGTTCAGAAGACTGCAGGGAAGCTTGGTGTATACTGGAATCAAATGGCCTCAGATAGACTTTTTGTTTTTATTTTGGCCCTTTATCTAGGGTTTTTTTTTCAGTTTTTCATCTTCTAAATATGTTTGGAATTAATCTTAGAGGGTAAGTACTAGCCTTAACACAAATAAATACATGTTTGTGAGCAGTCTTTCTGTACAGTTCAGTAGGCATCAGTAGGGTATTATTTAGAAATAATATGAATTGCAGTTCAAAGTACAGGTTCACTTGGGTGCATACTACTGTAAATAGCAACAATATGTATGCATTACTGAATAAGGAGATTATATGATTGGTTTTGTTTTCCTTTTAAGTAAAGGCTTTAAAATACCTCTGTGATGATGAAGAAAATAGTCTTACATTACTGAGATACCAACATATGCAGTTACTCTAATACAAGTGTAAAGATTGTTCTCTTGGAGAGAAAGCAAGAGAGGGTGGAGAGCAGGTGTCTTTGAAATCTGGGAGGAGGAGATAGGTACAAGTGAAGTGGAAGGACCAGTTGGCCTCTAGCACACTGGGAGAACAGTGAAGTAATGGGAAAGGGTGAACAGGGTAAATACAAGCCGAGAAGATAAAGAGTGTGTACTAGAACTAGAAGCCAATTTAGATTTTCAGGCTTAGATGAATCCATTATGTGAAGTAGAAAGTTCAAATACTGATTTGTGGAGCTGCTATTCTGCTTGGCAGTTCTAGTTTTAAACCACATGTGCATCCATGGGGATGGAAAAGTTAACAGGTAATCAGCATCTAAACCACACAGAGTATTTGTAGAAGAGTGGATCTGAAGTGGAAGTGAAGTGGATCTGAACTTCCTCTGAATAAAAAAGAAAAATATCTATTTTGAAATTCTTATTTTAGGCAAAATTTAGATAACTAATATGCCCTTAGACAGCCTAATCATTTTCCCTATTTAAGAAAATACATTCTAGCTATTTTAGTAGGGCAAACTTAGTGAAGCAAGATTATTTATTGTCATTGTCAAAATTTCCTCTCAGCCCCTTAACTTACTTGTTAGCTTCAGTTAATTTCCCAATTTAACTGAATGAAGAATTGCGTTAATTTTGTTCAGAAAAAAATGGCTCTTCTGAGTAGAGTAATAGCCTTCCAGTTGTCTCCATTCCATGAGGAATGGCTCTGAAAATACAGCTTTCTTGTCTGTACATCTTGTCTTGAGCTGCACCCTTCATACAGAGGATTTCTCAAGAGCAATTTTCTTTTGTTTGGTTTTTTTTTTTTTATATAGTGAATCCTGTCTAGTGTCCAGTGTTGGTCATGCATATGGAATCAGAGAAGTGACTCCTACTGCTGTTAATGTCAGGGTATTATTAGGTTCATGAAGAGTTAAGTTCTTTGTTTATTAGTTGCATTTTTGAAAATTAGCACACTGTATTATCTTGACAAGAACTCATATTTCAAAGGTGTTGCTTGTAGTAGGCACGTACACTTTCTTCTCCTGCGTTTTTTTCAGGAGTTTATTTATGCATTTTGAAATAAATGTTATCAAGTCCATATACCATTAATGTTTTAAATTATAGCTTGCTAGGGAAGAATATGAAATATTACATTACTGGATGTTGTCAGGAGGAAAGAATAAAACAAAAGAAAACAACCTGCTTTTAGTTTACATTTTAAATTAGCTTATGTGCCTGACCAAACTGAAAAGGAACAAATGATCCAGCCAGGCTAAAAGCTTAACTGATTCATCCTAGCCCATATGTAGCAGGAATTATGGTGGGCGTGGATTTACCATCCTGTGCTCCAATGCCTGCATAAAGGTGGATAAATGAAATAAGGGCCCTCAGTTTATTTATCTTATTGTATTGACATGTCAGGTTTACTTCCGAATTGTTTTGCTTTTTGGTTTTAATCAAATGCTTAATTTGAATTACAGAAGTAATTCTTGTAGTCAAACATTGTATAATTATATAGAGCACTACACAAATTTATTAACTTGGTCCTTTGAAGCAATGGCCAAAAGGTTAGTGAATGAAGGGAGTTAAAGGAAGCCAATGATACTAATAAGTAATTATTTTATATCTCTCTTGTTTTGCTGGTAACCTTGAGCTTGCATCCTCCCACCAAAATTATCATTTTAGAAGGGGAAAAAAAAAAAAAGAAATTACAGAGGAATCAGAGTGAGGTATTAGCACACTGAGTAAAATATATGGCTGCAACGCCTTTCTCCCCCATCCACAATCAATTGGATTCTTTTAGTTTAATATTTACTTGCTAAGATGAGATGCTAGTCTGCATGGTGATAAACAGTCTGCTACTGGCATCTGAAGGTGACCTGTCAGTTCATATGGACAAATCTCCTGCTTACTGAAATGTACAAAATAAATCATTAAAGCAGGCAGGTGCTCATTCCCAGATTTAAATCACCATAGATTTATGATTTGAATTAATGCTTCATTTGGTCATAGAAATAGATGCTGAGACAAATGATATGCAGTGGTTGGGGCTTCCATACTGTAGCCATCCTAATATTGATTACTGAGATGTCTTTGCAATCTCTTGTTTATATCAAGTACTGTCTTGTGACAGCTTGGCTGATATGAGCTACATTGCAGATAAGAAGGAAAAATGTCCCAGGTTCTTTTTAGTGGCAATCCTACATACAACATGCAGGGTAGATAAATTATTGGAGTTTTGTTTAAAAAATGAATTCTGTAGGGCAGCAAAGGAAAAAGAAAGATTATGCTGTATGTTGGGGATTTGTTTTTTTGTCGGATTTGGTGGGGGTTTTTTTTAGGGTTTTTGGTTTTGTGTTTTTTTTTTGTTTTGTTTTGTGTTTTTTTTTTTTTTTT